GAGGCAGCTATATTTAGTACTTGAGGTAACAAGGTAGAGTGCTTTCCTTATGTGGCGTCTTATAATATAAAGTAGATACATCTTGTACGCTTTGCTGAACCATCCAAAAGTCTTCTCTTGAGCACTTAAGGATGGCTACCTCCATAGGCTCCTTAAACTGCGGACCTTCAAACATTTTTGTCTTTTTCAGGTTTCAGCTTACAAATTGAATTAGAAATTAACTTACTCTTAAAATTTACAACTAAGGTTTGAATACATTTCATTCTTACCACCTTTTAAATGTGTTTAGGAAAATTTTCTTGGCTTTCCACAGTTTTGATCTTAAGAGGAATAAAACATTTTGTTAATTAGGAAAGCATAAGGTATTCTGAAGTCACTGGGTCAAATGACTTGCTGGAAATAGTTCCTCTAGGAGAAATCCGAGAAAAGGCCAGAAAGGAACCTTGAAACCTTTGCTACTGGGCTAAGGAATTTGGACTCGTTGTCCTTCAAGTGCTGGTAGGATCTGGTTGGGATAGCACTGAGGTTTTTTTATATGGTTCTCCCAGTTTGTTGTTTGGTCTTTTCATTCATAGATATTTATTTGACAAGGTGAGTCTCTTAGGTAGTAGTATTAGTCTCAGGATCTACCTCATTTTGTTTTGTTTTGTTTTGTTTACTTTGGTCTACACCAGTCTTGATTATGTATGTTGGTCTATTTTAATAATGATAATTATTTGAAAGGATTTGGTGAACATTTTTTTGCATTTGTTGAAGAACAGATTGTAGAATAGTTACATTTCTTAAATTGTTCTGCTTTCTGTTTTCTTTCCCTTCAAAAATCAAATTAGAACTTACCAAAATCAGATATTTGGCTGTTAGGAGCTGTTTTAGGATTGCCAATTGGAATCCTTTTCTACTGCAAAAATAAACAGCAGGGTTAATAAAAAGAAAGTTAAGTTTTTAGAGTAAGTTGTAGGACTGTTAAACTACTCACTTTTTTCTACTTAGTTTCATCATCTTATCTATAACTGATAGAATTATGTTGATGATTATAGAAGATTATTTAAATAATAAAGAGATGAAACATCTCTAGAAATAAGTTGTCTGCAATAGGTACATGTTGTGACTGGAAGCATTTATAGTTTTTTATAGTTCCCATTCTTTGCTCTCAATAGTTGGTGATTAAAAATGTTTTGTGATTTTATACAAGTATAAATTTCAGTTTGTCAATAGAGTAAAAGCAGCTCACCTTTATTGAATAGTTTACTATGTATCAAATATTACTGAAGTGTTTTATTTGTGTTAACAAGTTTCATAGCCCTGGCTGGCGTAGCTCAGTGGATTGAGCGCGGGCTGGGAACCAAAGTGTCCCAGGTTCGATTCCCAGCCAGGGTACATTCCTGGGTTGCAGGCCATAACCCCCAGCAACCGCACATTGATGTTTCTCTCTCTCTCCCTCCCACCCTTCCCTCTCTAGAAATAAATAAATAAAGTCTTTAAAAAAAAATTAAAAAAAAAATAAAAAACAAGTTTCATAAAAAAACCAGTGAACAAGTAAGTACCATTGTCACAACCTCATTTTACTGGTGAGAGAACTGAGGCAGAAAGAAATTAAGTAACTTTCTCAAAATTATACAACTAGTAAATGACGAAGCTGGGATGCAGTAGCTTTCTATCTTAAGAGTCCTTACTTTGAACATATTTAATAATATGAATTTGTGAAAGATCTATGCCTTTAGACATTAAGTAAAGATCTATGCCTTCAAGACTTCTAAAATAATAAAGAATTTAGGGGGAAATAATACATTTCTACATGTAATGCCAGAGCAAAAAGTTTTATGTAGAGCCCTGAAATTTATTCTATAAACTATCTATAGTTGTTCCCAAACCTGGCTGTGTATCACAATCACTTGAGTCATTGGGGGTGAGGGGAGGGTGGTGCACAGGAATTTCTGGGCCCCATTCCAGACCACCTGAATTTCAATGATTAGGAGCAGGATTTAAGCATATCTGGATTTCTAACCTAGCATGCACCAGACATTTATGCACCACTGGTGTACAGCATGTAATAAAATAGATTAAAACAAAAACACTATATAATGGCAATGGATAATTATGGTGACTAACATTTGTATTTTGTATTATCTCATTTAATCTTTATAACAATCTTGTAACTTGTAAAACAAATTGGTATTATTACCTCCATTTTATAGATAAGTAAACTGAATCTTAGAGTAGTCAAGTTTTAATGACCAAAGTCACACTATTTGGTAGTTTTGTAAAAGGTGAACATTTAACCTAGCAATTATAATCTAAAGTATTTTTCTAAAGAAATGAAAACACATACCCCAAACAAATACTTACACACTAATATTCATAGCAGCTGTATTTACAATACCTAATTACTGGAAGTAACCCAAGTGACCCAAAACAGGCAACTATTGTTTTGGGTATACCACTGGATATAATGGAATACTACTCAGCAATAAAAAAGGAACAGACTATAGATACATTCTACTGCATGGGTACATCTCAAAAACAGTAAGTTAAATGAATGCAGTCAGATACATAAGAAATGCCATATGATTTCATTTCATATAAATGAAACTCTAGAAAAGACTAATTTTATCTCTAGTTAAAGAAGGCATATCAAGGGTTACTTGAGGTTGGTGGGAAATGATAGGGAAGGGACTAGAGGGAAATTTAAGGATGATATATATACATCTATCAAAATTGATCATATTCTACAGTTAAAATGGATTTTTTTTTATCACAAAGAAATCTACTTCTAACACTAAAATGGCTGAAATTAAAAAGACTAACACCACCAAACAATAGGATTTGGAGGACCGGAACTCTTATGCATTGCTGGCAGGATTGTAAAATGGTACTACTTTGGAAACAGTTTGACAGTTTTCTGTAGTTAAACTAACACCATACAATCCACAGTTCCACTCTCAGGAATTTACCCAATAAAAATAAAAACTTGTCTACCAAAGACCAGTACTACTTTACACTTATCTTTCAGTCTTAATTGAGGCATTGTTTTACCCAGGAAGCTTTCTCTGAGCCTTCCTCAAGTCTTGACTGTGTAGCTTTTCTTTGAACTCCTAGCATCATTCATTTAACAAATACTCATTATCTTTTACGTGCTGGTACTAGGCTAGGCAACTGAGATTAAGAGGTGAACAAACTGATACTGTTTTTTCCATCATGGAGTCTACAGAGAGGCAGACATAAAACAATCACCACATAAGTAATTAGCAGTTTTATGAAGGAAAAGTAAAGGGTTCTATGTACTTAGATGGAGGTTGATCAGAGAAAAAAATTTTAAAATATTTAACAGAAACCTTCATTACAATTTTTAAGATTTAGCCAAAGAATGGAGAAAGGGCATTGGGGACAGATGCGGTATCTTCAAAGGCCCTAAGAAATAGAAGAACTTGATGCCTTGAGAATCAAAAAAGTCAGCCCATTTTGGCTGAGGTTGTAGTATTAGCTCATTGTACAGATGAGGAACCTGAAGCTCAGGGAGGTTTAGTGAATATAAAATAGACTAGGGTCATCAAATTAATAAATGAGAGAGTCTACATTCAAATTTTGGACTTTATAAATCCTTAGCGTTTTTTCCATTATACATTGGCATTTCCTAGTGAAATTTTGAACAAAATCTTTCCAGACTATGATATTTTGTTTCTTTTCCAACACTATAGAACATTCTCTTACCATTTTCTATTTTCAAGCAAAGGAGATACTGTATGTGAAACTATTGCTGTCAAAGAAAAGGAATAATTCACCTGGCACTAGGCAGAGATGCTTCCATTGAATTTGTGACTTTGAAAACTGGTTTTAGCTTTTGCTTAACTCAAAGAATTTATTGAGCCTCCAGAGTTGTCAGGGGTGAGGCATCTACTGTCTTTATTAACCTGTGTGTGTGTGTGTGTGTGTGTGTGTGTGTGTGTGTGTGTGTGTGTGTTTTGCCAGGAGAGCAAAACAATTCTCAAAGTTCACAGCAAGCATCTTATACTCTACTTTATTTCCATTCAACAGTATAAAATTGTAAAGTTAACCCACCTCTGGCAAATATTTAAGTTAGTGTTTCACAAAATACATAGACTTACATAGACTCCTTTTGGCAGTTGATTTGCAGACAGCTGATAAAACATTGAAGTGTTAGCTTTTTTTTTTTTCCATTTTGATGTGGACATAAATAGGGAAGGGGAAGAAACAGGACCAAGTTGGATAGATATCATTTTCATCTAGATAGCCATCTCCATTACCCTGCAGTGAACTGCCCACAATCTAGGATATAACAGCCTGCTGGCTAAGTAGTCTCAGAAACATCCATATTATGTCACACTTGTGCTGTGTTCTAAGTAATTGGTGACTTGTTAGCTTAGAGACCAATTTTAGGAATGTTTTATATAACTTCCTCAGTGATGTTCCTGCCTTCTTTTGTAAGCTGATAAAATCGTGTGTGGCGTTGTGTTTGTCAAAGAACTTCGCCCCTATGTTTTTTTCTTCTAAATGTTCTTTTAAAAAACAACAATGATAATAAGAAGATAGAGTGAATTTAATTTCTGAGCTAATCTTTAAATTCTTATTAGAGTTTTTCATTTGTGGTTTTATATCTTGTTCTTCTCAACCGGAGGGAGAAACTAATATTAAAAAGATTACTTAAAGGTACTGGTTTTACTTGTTTTGACATCCTTAAACACTGATTTTGTGGGTATTTTGCTTAAACGAGTACTGTGGAAATTAAGCTTTTTATGACTAAAAATTTGAGGGTACTATTATGCCAAATACATGTTTTTAAAATTTTCTTAAGTATACCTTTACAGTAGAGAAACAGAGAAACATTTAATAGATAATATTTTATATCATTAAGGAAACATGTAGTATTTTGTTTAGAATTTTCAAAATATATTTATTTGTCTTTATAATGTTCACCGAACCACTACAGTCCATCCCTGAATATTTTCTGCTTCTTTAAACAGCTTTCTGTTTCCCCTTTGCAGGCAGCTATCAATGGTGTAATACCCCAGGAAAATGGCATTCTACAAAGGTATGTTATTGGGGGCTTAAAGGTAAGATGGGAATTCAGCAAAGCAAAAAAAAAAAAAAAAAAAAGACAGTTGTTAATTTTGTTTCACTTTTTGATAGAGCATTTGATCTGTTGTGTAAGTTCATTTTAATGTAGTTACTCTTCTTTCAGATCTTTTTGTTAGTTATATTACTTTCCTAAAATCTCAACTTTATTTTTTTAAGATTGTATTTATTTATCTTTTAGAGAAAGGGGGAGGGAGGGAGAAAGAGTAGAGAAACATAGATTTATGAGAGAAACATTGATCAATTGCTTCTTGCATTTGCCCCAACCTGGGACTAGGCCCACAACCCAGGCATGAATCGAACTGGCGACCTTTCTGTTTGAAGCACAGTTTCCAACTGACTGAGTCTTACTAGTCAGGGCTAAAGTTTTTACTTTTAACCATATAATGTTATTTCAGTGGGTGATATTATTTTTAAAGGTTGTTTTACTTTATTTTTAAGAACGCTTTTCAAGGCTATCTTCTAATTTATAAAATGGAAGGATCTTAATCCTTTAAATCATGGGTGTGAGAAATGATGTATGGTTCAATAGCCCCAGGGCATGGTTATAATCTACTTATACAGGCTTTACTACGTTCTTTTTAACCTTTCTTTTGGTTTCCAAATTAAGTACATGATAACTTGTCATAATTTCAGCAAGTTGTTAATAATGAAACTTCCCAGAGCACTGAACTATTTTACCTGAAGAATCCAGTATTAACATGTGGAATGGTCTTTGTGGTTTTGTGTCATTGCCAGAGGGTAAAATTGCCAAAGAGAACTATAATAGTTACAAATAACTTTTTAAATTAAAAATAAATCCCTAACTTTTCTCTCCTTAAAATCGCAGACTTTGGTTTTGAATTAAAAGAGCACACTGTAAAGTCATAGGAGGTAAAACCATTCTCCCTTCCAAGTGCAGTTTAATTGCTTGGTTCCCTCCCCCACCCTTCTCAATTCAAACTTTGGCTTCAATTTTGGTGGCTGGGATTTCTAAGTCACTGAAGCGTGATCTGCTAAAAGTGCAGATGAGGCAAACAGAAACAGCACACTAGGAATGAGGTTGTTTTGGACAGGAAGAAAAGTGCTGTTGCAAAAACATCAAAAAACTCACCAGGAAAAGCAAAATGTGCTGTACTTCATAGGAAACTGTATATTTAGAAAGGAAGCAAAATTCTATTTGGTACCTGTACCACCCTTAGTGATTGATGGTTTTTAGGTGAAAGCAATGATAAACAGACCTATCCTCCAACCTTTCTTTAAAACTGTCAGAAAGAATTTCATCCAGAGTAAATGTAGCTGATTTCCAAAGTCTGTGCTTAAAGGCATTCAATTCTACCCTTGTCTAGAAAGCAAACCAGATGATTATAGGAGCCTCCTTCATGATCATTTTTTTTTCTTGGTTAAGAAAGTTTTAGACTGCTAAATATGGCTCCAGTTTTATTCTTGAGTAAATGTTATTCTACATTTTGTGCCAAAATTTTTGCTTGCTAAACCCTTGTGGATTCAGCTGCTGGGTTCTGAGTACATACTGGATATATCTTACATGTAATAGTATTTGCTATGGACGAACTGTAGAAATTTCCTCATCCCTGGAAACATCCCATCTCCCTTGTTGCAGATGACATTTTTGTTTAATATATTTTATAACTAGACATTTATAGTACTGAATTGATTTCTGTTAAGGTTACTATACTGTTTAGGGTTTAACTTTGATCAGAGTGGATTTTTGTTTTTGTTTGCTTGTTAAATTAAAGGAATGAATTATGTCCATAGAGAAAGTCAGTTGTATCTAGTAATAGTCTTCAACTATTTTCCTTCCTACTAACATTTCTTCTTCAGCTTTGAAACCACTGTGGATTTAATATAACTGAAAATTCTGCTGTATGGCTACTGACCAGAGGAAAATGAAAGAGGGCTATTTATACTTTCTCACAGGCTTGAACACTGAAAGGGGAAGACACAATGCTAGCAATGGTATATGTTGGTAGTTAAAAGGATCTTTGTTTTTTATGTTTGACTTTTGTAGTAACGTTAAATGCAGTCTCTAAATACAAGTGACTCTTAATATGTCAGTTTATCCTTAAACAGAGAAAAGTTACCAAAAAAATTTTTTTCAAGAGTTATTTTTGGAGGGAGAAGAGCCCAGTCCCTGTCTTTATAACTTTTCTTGAAATCAGATTTTTGTGTGAGTTTAAAAGTGGAAATATGGTTTTTAATGTACCCATAAAATTTAAGGGCAATGAAACTTAACCTTTTTTTTAATGCTTAACTCACTGACATATTTTCCTTTAATACTCATTACAAACCTTGAGATAAATCATGTATCATAAATGAGGAAATTTAAGGTTAGAGAGTTTATACAGACTTGCTCAAGGTCACAAGTGTAGTGGGTAGTGAAGTCTGGATTTTTTTCCTTTTAAAAGCTATGCTTTTTCTTATACTACTCTGTCCTCTTCAAGGTCAGTATGCCAGGCATGTCACACTTTTGGTAAAATGTTTAAATTTAATACATGTATATAACATCTTTCTCTTACAGCTTTGTTTTTAACAGTTATTTTAGTTGTAAGCAAGTAGAGGCAGGTACTATTATCCCTCATTTTATAGGGAGAGAGTATAAGTCATGAAGTGACTTGACCCAGATGATAGAGCATGATGTTGATGGAGTCAGGAAATTAAGCGAATTTACTGCCTCACCCTTCACAGTTTATTTCACAAGACAGTATATTGCTAATAAAACATTTCTAAAGTATGTAACTAAACCCAGTCACAAATGTAAACCATTCATTCAGTCATAAACATTAAGTGTGTAACATGTATATTTATTGCATTTTGGTGTAATATTTTATATATTTAACATATTGTCCAGAGTCCCTTTACAGATTATTTTTGGAGATAGTTATTGTAAGAAAGAAATACTAGTGCATTACGAATAATTTCTAAAAGAGAAGATCCTGTATTTTCCAAAATTTTATGAATTAATAGTGTAATTTTACTCATTGACTAACTGGGTGGCATTTATCAATTCCTATTTATTTTATTACTTAGATAGATGTACTGTATGTTTCTTTGTCCATTGTTTAATTCATTGAGGAAACCTTGTGAAGACAGGGCTTGGTTTCAAACATCCATTTTGACCAGTTTGTTTCTATTTGTTGTCTTCTCTGATGACCATTTAAAATACTTGATTTTTTTCTAAAGACAAAGTTTATCTTTTAAACAAATTATATGTATATATTCTTTTGTACCTGGAGGTTTTACCATGAGATGGACTTTAAAAAATTGCGGTAAACAAGTGAAGAGTTCCTGTTTACTTGGCTGTTGTTCACTGCCTTCCAAGGATCTGTGTGGTTTGTAGAGGAAAATGGAGTAAGGCTAAAAATACTCCTCTAGTTGAAGTTAGGTCTAAAATACATTTCTCCGTAGTGTTTCCCTTACAAATCAGTGTCCTTTTTAAAATTATTTTTTAATTTGAAATTTATTTTTCAATTATAGTTTACATTTTAAGTTACTAATTAACTAGAAAATGAATGTTGAGAAGGTCAAATTAAAGGACAGTAGTCTTCATCCTAAAATGAAAAATCTTAAAGATCTTTTTCTTGAGTCAACAATTATGGATGACCTCACTCTTTGAATGTCATTGGACTTTAGTCAAAACTGATAGGTTCATTGATTAACTGGTAGTCTCTCTGTTTTCCTCTTTTTAAATTGTTTTTGGATTGCTAGTGAAAAAACTATCGTAAATTCATTTTTCTATGATTTTGAAATAGAGTAATTATAGCCAGTAAGGGAATTCTCAAACAATAACTTTAAAAAACCCTCTTTGTGGCTGACAACCACACCAAATAGCCTGCTCTGATTTGAAATATTAGGGTATCTTCTAGAAATAGGGTTTTGTAAAGAGAAGAAAAAGCCCACTAGGTGTTTCAAACAGAGAATTTCATATAAGGAATTAGTTACATAGATATGGAGCAGGTTGAAAAAGCAAAAAGAGGATACCAATACAGCCAAGATATAAGGACGGCAGTAAACACCTGGACCACCAGGCTTAGATGGGGCTGGGTCCTGCTGGTCTACAGGGAAGAGAGCCTAGGGCAAGAGCAGACTTACAGGTGCAGCATCCTCTAATGCACTGAGCCGTCCTGGATAGCAAGGGGAAAAAGCTGACTGACATAATAGAACAATGTCATCTTATCTATGTTGAGAGTCCCTTTTTCAGTGGATAGTCTATAAATACTCACCTTATAAACATATATAGTCACCTTTTGTGTCTATTCTAAAAGATCCATTTCTATAATTCTTTCCCAGACTTTCCTTTTATTCTTTCCAAGTCCTGATCATCTGGCCAACCTCTTAACTGTCAATGTGGACATGTACCTCAGGTTGTTTTTTTCTTCTAAATAAATTGGTCAACCTGTGGCACAACCTTAAGCTCCCCTCACTGGGAGGCTTTTCTTTCACTGCTGTCCATTTTTGGTTGGTGCCAGTATATAATAATACAGAGCCATTTTTTCTTTCCTAGCCCAAATGTTTTCTTTCTCAGTTAACTTAGTTATCTTATATATTGATGCAAAGTGTACTGTATAACAACTAGCCTTTTACCCTGACATACTTCTGACCATTGGACCACAGAGATGTCACCAAGGTGGCAGGCCTGGATGTTTTTGTGATGTGTATTTCCTAGTCTCTAGCTGCATGTGTCTTGCCAAAGCATCCACTTTCTTGATACTTCTGCTCTTCAGGACCAGTCCACATGGTCATCGATGTAATGTTTGGTGGAGTGTCTTGGTGATTAAGATCTTTCCAGACTAGATTATTATGACAAAGAGCCTGAGAGTTTATATAATCTTTAGGAAAAGACAGTCTTTTACCTTGCTGGGTGGAAAGCAAAATGCTTGTCATGATGTTTGCAAGTTTATAGAGAAGAAAAAAGTATATGCAACATCATTTGCTTCCTACTATGCTTCCTGCACAATA